AGGAACACCTGGCTTGATACTGTTTGTAAGGCCCCTCCCTGCACTGTGGCTTTTAACAGTCTTGCTTCTTAGCACTTTTTCGATGGATTCTCCAGGGACATCTCTAAAAGAGAGTTATACCTTAATTTAGAAGCAAATAATTCAAAACTCTGTGATGTAGCAAGCTTCTGTGGGAAAGAGACGAACTCAAGGAAGCCATTGTACAAAGGTGCTGGGCATGCCTGCCCAGGGCCTGCTTCTCCCTAGACTTTGAGATGTGTCTCCTGCTACCTACTACCTGAGGGGTTGCTGGCTGTTGGGGGTCCACAAACAGGGAAGAAATGACAACTCACAGCAGGTAATTCTTCAGTTAATGTGTGACTTTGGGTTTCTAAGGCCAGGAGGCCAGAGGTTCACAGGCTGAGTGTGGTTAACCCTAGCAGCCCAGAGGGTCAATGCAGCCCACCTGCCCATTCAGAAAAAGGAGCAAAAGAAGGGAGCAAAGGCAGCAGGCAAGCCATGGGCCCAACCACGACACATTGTCTCTGCCCACCATAGTGGCAGCACTGTCCTAGAAGTCCCCATAAACAGGGCTACTTTTGCTGGGCATCTACTGTGAAGTCAACAGGGCTCTATGCCAAGCTTAATGTTGCTCTGCTGTCACTATCTTGAAATGCTTAATAATTTCTCTCTCCCTCTTTTTTGGTAGCACTGGAGATTGAACTGAGGGCTTTTGTACAGAGCTACATCCCCAGCCCTTTATTTATTTTTTATTTTGAGATAAGAGTCTTGCTAAGGTGCCCAGGCTGGGCTCAAACTTGCAATCCTCCTGCCTCAGCCTCCCAGACTGCTGGGATTACAGGCAGGTACCATCATGCCTAGCTGCTTAATACTGTACTTTCTTAACAGAGGCCCCATAAATTATGCAGCCTGAGCTTCTCAAGTTGTTCAATTCCTAGGAACCCCCTGCCTGCCACAGTGCTTGACACAGGGGTCCTGTGCTCCTGGGACACTGCCTTCTCCGGCCTCCTAGGGGGCCATCACGATAGTGTTTGCCAACTCAGTCTTCAACCTGGCCACTTCAGGTCCCACCACCCTTCATCTGCAAGTGACCTCAGCGAGTCCCAGCTTTCCTCACACCTTGATGCCAAGGACTCCAGGTTGCTACCTCTAGCCTCACTCTCTGCCTGCTGTGAGCACAAACAAGGTTTCAGACCAGATTTCTGATTCCCTGCCCCTCATGAAGGAGTCTTGCCACATTTTCCTCAGCCTGTGTCTGTTCTGTCCCACAAAAGACTCAGATGAAGAATATGCAGCTGTGCTTGTGTTTTCTCCTCCATCAGCAGGCTTAACCTGCTATTCCTGAAAATAAGCCTCCCATCTGACCACCTCTCATCACTGCTAATGTTCCCACCTCATGGGGTCAGCAACTGCCTCACCTGGAATGTTGGTCTTGCCCTCTCATCCCCGCCCCAGCCCAGTCTACTCTCTCACATCAGCAGAAATCCTTTATAAGCCAAAATTAGCTCAAGTTGCCCTTCTGTTCTAAACCTGCCCAGGTTTTCCCACCTCAGTGGGTAGCTTGGAGCCTGCCCCACCTAGCCCCTGCACTGGGCTCAGCCACCTGGTCTTCCAGTAGGGCCTCCAGCTGCATTCACTCAGTGCCTTTGCATTTGCTATCCCTCTGCTGGGTACTTTCCCCTGCTCATCACACAACTTGCCTGTATTTCTCCACAGCACTGCACCAAGTCTCATCCCAGAGAGGGACCCCCTCCCCCTTCTACTTCAGTGTTCTACACAGCACATACTCATCCACCTGTACTCAGTTACTTATGTGTTACTGGCAGCACAGTGCCTGGCATGTGGCAGGTACTGATAAATATTAGCTAGTTGAAGAATGAAGGCACTGTGTATGGGTCTGCTCCTCAGGTTCCATATGGAAGGCTATTATGGTCCAGGATCATCAGACAGTCCCTGTTTGCTCAATCCTGTGAAGCACCTTCCCTGCCAGTGTGGAATCCACCAGGGGCCAAATGTGTGGGAAGGCTGGTATGGGGACAAGGCGGTGCTCTCTTGGCTGTTTACAGACAAGGACAAGAAAGCTGAGGGGAGATGGCTGGACCAAGGGGTGGTGGGACTAGGGTCTGACCCCAGGTCTTCCAAAGCCTATGCTGGAGTTCTTGCCTCATCACTAGGGTGGAGGTGTAGTTAGGGTGCTCCAGGGGCCCTCCTAGTCTGTACAAGCTGTGGTATGATCTCTGCTAGGGGATCCTGCCTGTGGCTGACCTTGGTGTCTGTCCTAATGCCTCTGTCCACTTCCCTTCAAGTACCTTTTGGTCAAGCCCAGGGTTTATAGGACACTGCAGCAGCTAGGTTACCTCAGGTTTCCTTCCTGGGGCCTCAGAAAAGCAGCCGGCTAATCTGTCACTCCATAGCTCCCGTGAGCTAGCCATGGTTGGGGGCAGGGAGCATGTCTTTTCAGTCACACAGTATCTTAGGTTTTCTGAGGCTAGTGTCTGGTAGCACTGGGATGCTTTGTCCTTGCTTCCAGGGCAGGAAGCAGCACACACTTATCCAAATTCACACATCAGACAACTAAGTGGCTAGGATAAGGCCATATTCTAAGTCCAAGGCCAACCTACCCTGGCATTTGGCATTCTTTCTGCAGGAAGGCCCTCCATCCCAAAGGTCCCTAGGCAGGGGTCCTAGGCAACCAAGTTCATCCAATTATGGAGATGTTCCTGGAATCATCCTAGAAGTTCCCAATGGCCAGACCAAAGCCCTTTTCTTCCTGTGAAAAGAAGGTCTGAGAAGCTGGGGACAGGAGGACTCTATTCCCAATGTCCTAATCCCAGGATCTCATGGTAGGCAGGTGGAATGGGCTGGGTGGGAGGTACAGAATGAAGCATCTTCACCCTGATCAGCACTGACCACATACCCCATGAGGGTAGGCAGGTCCTGTTCTCACTGCAGCACCACGGGCCTCAGTCAAGGCTGAGTGTGTGTGTGAGTGTGTGTGTGTGTGTGTGTGTGTGTGTGTGTGTGTGTTTAGGGGGTGGGCATACTACCAAGATGAGTAACAAACAGCTCTTTCAGAGGAAGAGCAAAAACATCCTTAGGAGTGAGGGAGCACATCTAGGGCAGAAGGTGACATCGGCCTTTTGAGGGGGAGGAACTATGTCTTATTCACCTCCTGTCTCAGAAAATCAGCATCTGTTAGAGGAACACACAGGAAGAGTTTTAAACCAAATGCTAGCATCTCATAAACCCTAGACAAGAAGGCTCACTACTTCATCCAAGCATGGCCAACCCCCACACTTCCACTGGCCCCTAGATGGCTACTCCTCTCAAATGTCCACAGCCCAAAGGCACAGAGCCACTAGCTAAACACTCTCCCCAAAGCGGGCACGCTCCATCCTGGCTACGGTGGGTAGGTGGGTTAGTAACCCATGCCCTGGCCCTGCCCAAGGGACAAGGTGACTAGAAGGGTATCCCTAGGCTTCAAGGAGCCCTCTCTGGTCTTCCCCAAGCCCACTGCAGCTCAAGGGATCATGGAATGGCTCCCCTTTTATAGACCAGCAGGCCACTGTCACTACCAAGACAGCTACAGCTAACAAGCCATGGGGTCATTCCAGTGCTTACTCCTTTGTTTCATGAACCTGTCACTTGCCTTTCCCATCACACCTGATTCCTTCCTAAGCATCCTCAGTGCTCCCACCAGGCCCAGCTGTCCAAATGCACCTCTGTGCATCCACCCATTCTCACTCTTCTGCCCATAATAACCCATTCCAACTGTGCCCATGTCCTTCAAGCTGCAGTTCAAATGTCACACTGCCCACAGGCTGGTCTGACTCTAGCTTGTGGCAGCCCTGAGTCCCCTCCCAGGACCCCTGCACCAGCACTGGGGGTTATCTGAGCATGGATGAGTTTCCCCTATGGGGAGGTGAATCAGTCCTGAGAGGGCAGGCCCTGTCCACTTCCACCCTATCCACTCAGCACCAGGCCCTGGGGGAACAAGCACTCAGTAAATATTTGCTTAATTGAATTTGGCCAAGGAGCTTCCTCCAGACAGGGATGAGGGCAGCAGGATTAGATCCCCAAGGCAGGAAAATCACTTGGGCAGAAAGGAGCTGGCAGGGGCTCAGCCACCTCCCTAAGCCAGGCAAACCTCAGCTACCAGGCGGGTCCCTCCATCCTGGGACTTAAGACTCAAAGGAACCCCGGTTTTGCTTAGTACCGCCTTCCCATCCCCTTCTCTCTGTAATAGGAGCCCCATTCTTGGCCTAAGCGGATTTCTGCCATCGTCACCCAGACAGGCACAGCACCGCGCTAAAAAAGCGGAGCTTCCCTAGGATCAACCGCAAGATACCAAGCCCCAGTCCCAAGGCCCTCATACCCCTCCTCCAAACACCCCCACCGCCTTTTAAGGGAAAAAAATATTGAGCCGGGAACACATTACAATCGCAGCAGGTCGATACTCATCTCTTGCTCCACTCGCTGCAAGAGCAATGACCGAAAACTGCGAGGAGTCCGTCCCCGGGCCCAGGCCTTGGGGGCCCTCTCTTCCGTTTCGGCCGAGGCGACACGCCGCCGCTCTTGCCACCCGGGGTTGCCTCCTTCCCGAACCCCCAGAGGGAGACCCCGCCTCAGCGCCGCTCTCACAGGTCGCCCGGCCGGAGCTCTGCACTAGCGGCCAGTCAGGGCAGGGCGCCTGGCAGCCCCGCGCGGCAACCCCCCTGCCCTCTGCCCACAGCCCCCCCCTGCGGGATCCTCAGCCCGGCGTGCCTCTCCCCCGCACCTGCCCTGCCCGTGGCCGCCCCCTGCCCACCTCGCAGCCAACTCTGCCTTCGCTACCCCCCACCCGGGCAGGGCATCCCTGCCGTGTCGCCCCCGGCCTGGACGGATCTCGAGCACAAAGGCCCGGGCGGGGCCCTGGGTGGGGGTGGGGTGGACGCCCCGGCCGCACCCCCGACCCCAGGGTCTCAGTCCCGGGCGCTCCAGCCGAGGGTCCGCTTACTTACCTCGAGAGCACAGTGCATCTGCGGAGCTGCTCCGGGTGGGGCGGGGCGGCGAGCGCGGGGCCGCGGCGCCCTCGTTCCGCACAACGCGGGCGGTGGCGCCCGCGCGGGACGTGACCGGACCGCGGGCGGCGCACACGCTCCGACTGGTCGGCTCCCTCC